CATTCAAAACTGGACTTTTGAGGGCTGCGCGCTCTCAACGACATCTCTCTCTCTCTCTCTCTCTCTCTCTCTCTGGTGTGAATGCCTGCTTTCGATTCTGGCCTCCCCCTCCTACCAGCCTCCATCTTTCCCCCCTCCCTCTGTTCGCCCCTTTCTCAGGATATGAGGAGATGTTTAGAAAATCCGCGGCCGACGCCAGCCGCTGACTCATGTTTTCATTAAAGAAGGGAGGCCTCGCGCCACATGTGAGAAGCGGTGCCCGCGCGCCCGCCTCCTCCTCTCGCCCCGCCTCCGCTCCCCTCCCTCGCACCTTCTTGGAAGGGCGTCCGGACGGGGTGGCGGACGTGGTGAGGCTTATCGCCAGAGATATCCTTGGGTTAGCGGCCTGCCTTGTTCTTTGTTTGCTGGGGAGGGTTCGCTGTTTACCACCTTCTGTGTAAAAAGATTTTTCAAAGAACACAATCATGGGCTGGTTCACACACAGACCCTAGGGGGACGTGCATATGTGAAACGTAGCTTGCTTCCGGTGTCGATAGCCTGGCCAAGTAGGGGCTGTTTATTCCCCCAGCTGTATCAGGGCCTCCTGCACAACAGGCCTTATGGCATGATTGGTTGGGTTTTTCTTTTTAAGTGTAGGCATGAAAAAAAAGACGTGACACATGTGTTTTGTATTATGGACTTTTAATGAGCACTAACAAATTCCCCAAGGAGCTTCTACTTATAAAAACACACAAGACTCTAGGCTACATTGGAGGAGACTCCTGAGAATACCTGGACAGCTGAGAAAATAAATAAATGGATCAACAAACAAATCAACAAATCACTCAGGCACAAATGACCAGAGTCAAATTATCCTACTTCAGACACTTTATGTGAAAACCCAGCTCTCTGGAAAAGGCTCTAATGCTGGGAAAGGTGGAAGGAAAGAGAAGAAGAGGATGACCAGCAGCGAGGTGAATGGACTCAGTTACAGTGGCAATGGGGGCCCCACTGAAAATGCTGAAGGACCATGTTAGGGACAGATTGTCATGGAGAATATCTATTACACTAAGGGTTGACATGACTTGATGGTACATAATCAGCCAAAGCTGGTTGCTGCACCTGGCTGAACTTACTTAGGTTTGGATGCTAACCGGGGTGAATGTGGTTAATATGTGGACAAGAGACCACCAGAAATTTCAAGGAGTCAGACTGGGTATCCTGGAAGAGGGCTATAGCAAACTACTTCCTTTTTGTTGCTAAGAAAGCAACCATGTATGTATCTCTGATGTCATCGGGAGTTGAGCTCTGCTCAGAGGAAATGTGTTAAAAACTAGGTTCCCAAGGGTTCATTAACATAGTACCTTCTAATGTAAATGTGCATAGTTTGAATATGGCAGATATGTAGATAATTATAAATACATGGACATAGCCTGAAGATTTACTTTGCTTCAAGTGGAAATTAGAAAATCTCAATCAGGCAATAACTTTCTGAGGTTAAGTGTTGGAAAGTGGCAGTGAGATGCTGAAGAGTTGAGCTGTGAGTATTTCATAAACTTTTCTCTATACTCCCTAAAAATCCTTGGATACTCTGCAGTAAATTCAATCAATAAATGTAAAAAGTCAGTGTATTATCTTTGGTGTATAGCAGGATGCTGTCTCATTGTCAGTATTCAAATGCAGTTCTACTGCTAATCTAGATGGCTTCTACACAGGATTAGGAAGAGTCCTTGATTTCCTGTCCTTGATTTCAACTGCAAAATTTGAGCCAGTCTGTTTGGGGCCAAACAAAAACATCATTAAAGATGTAAGCAAGGTTTCAAGTTTATGAAAGCAATCGTACCTGTTGGGCATTCAATTTGGTATCATTAGAGGACACCTTCAGTTCTTGGTGTGTCTGCATCTTTCTGGATTACACGTCTAAGCAGCAAGCAGATGTCACAAAACTTGAGAAAAATTATGAATTGATCTACTAGTTATGTCTGAACTCTATTAATTCATACCATTGAAATAAGTGGTACTAACTTCTCAGTATTCAGTATAATATATACCACTGAGTATACCACTCAGTATAAGTGGTACTAACTTCTCAGTATTCATATTCAGTATTCATATTCAGGCAGTTTACTGAATACATTATTCCATATTCAGAATTAAGTTGCTGAGTTCAGAAGTTGCACAATGCAGCATTGTTTGTTTAGGTTATAGTAGGTGAAATCTGAGGAAAACACAGTGCTTTGTAGAGAAGCAACTGGTTACCAGTTTGATTCTGGGTATAATTTAAGAAGCTGGTTCTTATCAATAAAGCCCTTCAAGGGCTGCCTGTCTCCAATTATTTCTGCTTATCCAGTAAGAACTGACAGGGTTGGTATGCTTTGGGTCCCACTGCTTAGACAATGTCATCTAGCGTGACCCAGGAGACCTATCTTTGTTGCTGCGCCTGCCCTTTGCAACAGCTTCCCCCCAAGATCCAGCTAGCCTGGAGCCTGCCAGTCTTTCAGAAGGCATTAAAGTCCTATTATTTTCCCCTCGGGCTATGGGTCTGGGATTGGTATGACCCACGAGATAATGGCTTTTCCCCAGCACTTTTTGTGTTTATGTGTCTTTGTTTTGTTTTTTGTTTTTTTTACATCTTTTTATTATGTGGTTTTATTGCATTATTATTGTTCTTTAATGATGCATGCTGCCCTGAATTGTTGTTGAATGGGTGTCTATATAAATTGATCAGATAAATAAAATCAGAGGCCTCTCTATCTCTGTCTGTTGGTGTCTTCCAGATACCTCAGAAGCTGTTGAATGGCTCCTTGGATGCATCCTTTCTAAGCTTAATGTTGGCCTGAAAGACTAAGGCAAATTGAGTTCATAAATGCTGAGTTTAAAGCCATCACAGAATATATGACTGAACAGACTTATAGGTAGTCCTCGCTTAACAATGGCAATTGGGACTGGAATTTCCATGATGCAGTCATAAAGCGTGATGTCACATGACTGCATCACTTAGCAATGGCAATCCCGGCAGTCCCCACTGCTGCTGTTAAGTAAGGACCTCAAGTGACTGTGTCTTGTGACTTCCTGCCTGCTTCCAACAAGCAAAGTCAATGGGGAAGCCGGCAGGAAGTCACAAGTCCTGGGCAGTTTGCAAGCAGGCTGGCAGATGGGTGAGTGGTATGGAGTGTGGCCAGGTGGGGTACTGCAGCGCTGCATGAGTGCAGCTGGGCAGGGACAGGGGTGCTGTAGCATGGTGCAAGTGCGGCCAGGTGGAGGAGGGGCAAGCGGGTGGGTGAGTGTTATGGAGTGTGGCCGGGTGGTGTGCTGCAACACTGCCTGAGAGCAGTGGGGAGGGGGTACTGTGGTGCCACGCAAGTGCAGGAGGGGAGGGGGTGCTGCAGCATGGTATTTGTGTGGCTGGGCAGGGGAGGGGGTGCTGTGGCACTGTGCAAGTGCAGCCAGATGCTATGGAGTTCAGCCGGGGGGGGCACTCTGGAAGGGTGTGCACTATGGAGTACAAGATCCCTGGGATCTCATATTCCATAGTGGGCTCCTTGGGAGAAAAAGCGGCAGGAGCAACTTACAGGAGTGATTTGCAACCCTTCCTGTTGGGTTCCCTATTGACTTTGCTTGTAGGAAGCCAGCAGGGAAGGTTGCAAATGGTGCTCATGTGACCATAGGACACTGCAACCGTCGTAAGTGTGAGCCAGTTGCCAAGTGCCCAGATCACAATCACATGACTGCAGGGGTGCTGTGATGGCTGGAACTTCAAGGACCGGTCATAAGTACCACTCGTTTGGCTCTGTCACAACTTCCAACAGTCATTGAACAAGTGGTTGTTAACCAAGGACTACCTGTACTTTGTGCTTTGTGCTTTCTTATGCTTTCTTATGCTGCAATTTCCTGAGATTTTGAAGTACAAGTAGAAATTGTAAGCTTCCTATATCTTCATCAAAGGTTAGAGGGTTTTTTATTAGTGTGTATGGTGTACTTGTGATGCACTAAGATTATTTAACATGCTGAATGGGAGAAAAGTTTGTAGCATTACAATGATATGATGATAATTGAACTCCATATGCTGTATTAATGCCTGAGCTTAGGTGGCATCTCAAATAGCAACAACAGGAAAAACAACAGTAGCTCCAGGGGTTATAGGCTCTATAGGTCTATAGGCTCCATATGCAAGTTTGAGTTACTCATTAACAGTGCCTTTTGGAGCACTGAAACTAGAGCATCTTGAACTATTTTATCAGTCTGGAAATTGGTGCAATATGGTCCCAAGATGAAAGAGGAA